TCATCTCTTACCTTAATCTCCGTTCTCCACCTTGAATTCTTACTCCTTTACTCTTTATTCCTCCTTTTTTCCTCCTATTTCTTTCTCCTCCTTCTTCATAGAGCATTCAGTTGCGCTTAAATGATGTGTCGATTTTCACAGCTCAGCTTGTTCTCCCGTTTAAACACAGCAGCAAATGGCGCGACCTTCTCAAACTTCAGTCAGATTCAAGGTGAGTAATAAAGCTCGTAATCTGCTCGAGAACCCAGTGCCATCTGTGAGTACTGTTATTTTACTTCGAACAGAAAGCATTAAGTTGCTGGTAAAACCTGGAAAAAGACACAGGCTTATACAACCAAACAAACAAACGACCAAAGACGCCCGGAATAAACGTTCACGGTAGTTTTAAACTATTTCCCTTTCCTATGAATTCAACGGATCCTTGAAAGACTCTTCCAGTAGCAGTGAACACATTTAATTCAAAGGTTTTATCATACACCCTCCTGTCCTGATTTACGCCCATAACGTTAGGAGATAACTTATTCATCGGCTAATGGTCAGTTTGACCGACCGGTTTCAGTTCTTTGACCGTCAAGCCCTTACCGCTGACGACTCTGGGAGAAAGCACGGCAGATGTACAGACGACAGATGAAACAAGGTAAAGTACGAGCCTAAAGGATTTCAAGAATTCAAATTCGGCCAATCCACAGCTGTTCTTCCTGACGAGTTTTTCTATTATATCGGGTAACTGGCTAACACTGATTTCTTGCAGGCTTGCAGTAACGCAAAGATAGCGCTTTGTATTAAAATCTGAGCAATGAGTAATGAGAATCCTGTTAGATCAATCGCTATATCCTTTCTAAACTCGTAAAAGACAGTTTCCTTGACCTTTTTCTGTGCCTTAACTCCCCGTCCTTTTTCCAGAGGGGAAAAACTCCTTTCAGGTGGACAACCACTATTAAGCAGGTCCATACAGGAGTGATTTCCCCCCGACGTCAGTGCTTTTGGAACACTTTTAGCCTATACATTCAGCCCTGACTAACTTTCAAATGTTGTTATAACAATAAGCGACAACCTCTTTGCCAATTTTAAGACAGAGTTCGAAAGTTACGAGATGAAAGCTGATTCACTTGAGGTACATTACTTATACCCAACCTTAAATTTCTGAATTAATTTTTTGCAGGCCTTTTTGTCTCCGTTTTGAGACACCCACACATTTTTTTGTTCTTTACTCCTACTTTAGTATCGTTGTTCCAGCAGTCCTTCATCAACGTGCGAAGGGGGCAGAGGTTACTTTGAAATATCCCCGGTTTGCTGTCGGGCTTTTTGAGCAATTATGAAGTGTTTTATTTTTCTTTCTGCAGGGTTAACTCAGTCAACCATTGCTTGTCCATTTTGCAAAAATTTGTTGATTTGTACCAGGACTTACCCGCAAGTTTTGAGATATTTGCTCCTGTGAAAGAACATTTACAAAGGTAAGGGATGAGTGAACCAAAGTTCACAGGTAACTACAAGATTATGAAAAATTTTCTGAATGATTACAATTTGACCATAATGGGTGTGGCATAGTACTAAACAAGATTTGTTTGATGTTTCAGAATACCTTCAGATCTTTATCCTGCTTCTGTTCAGGTAACATAGTGCAAGAAAAGTGTTTTGAATGAATTAGTTTTACTTTAAAAAAATCAGTCTAAGCTCAAATACCAACACTTGTCGACAAAACTTCTTGCTTCTTGTTACACTATTTTATTGATTTATGTTGCTTAAATGTGAGGTTCTCTGATTGCTCCACTTTCCAATGCTCTCAAGCGTTATTTCTTCCTCAGTTTAATTCCTTACATGAATTTAGTTATTTCTTTTTAATTTAAAAGTAGCGATTGGATTAACTATGCCTAACCCTTTACAACACTAACATCAGTATGTTTATTCTCCACACTCTTCTCTATACATTTACGAAGGTGGTGATAAGGAGAATTTGTTAAACAATGAAGAGCTTCTTTAGTTGATGATCATTTCCCTTAATGTGTGATTCAGAGGTGATATTGTAAGGAGAAATTAGATGCTAGCCCTAAGGGGGCTAAACCCCTAGGGGGGCTAAACCCCTAAGGGGGCTAAACCCCAAAGGGGGCTCAACCCCAAAAGGTTAAGAGAGTACAATAGTACTCACTGCCTCTGTTAAAGAATAAAGAAGTCCGATTTTCAAGGGAGATTTGCTCTTGCTGTTGATGCAATGTGTTGTTCTTTAAATCAGATTTAGAATGTTGGATTTGTTTATTTCGGTCGGGAACTGAACACTGACTCTTGCTCTTTTTCCTTTCCATGTTTTATTCAGGAAATTTACCGCAACCTTCAAACGAGAACAAATGAACTCTTCACCAAGAGCCTAAATCGTAACCATCTCACGTTACAAGCGCGTAAACCGGAACCTATCAAGACATACGAACCAAAGTTTGAGGAGCAGTGAGTGTGAATCATTTTTACATCTTTTTCAGTGACTGTCTATTCGCTCCTGTTGTTGTTTGAGTGAAATACTAAATCATATTAAGTCCATTGGTTGGGGGAACGGTATTTATCAGCCAATGAACCCGGCTATAACCGTCTCTCTCTTGTCTTGAGAGTATAAAGAAAAAACGCGACTCTATCCCCGGGTATTTCTCTCCGAGCTGCCATCTTTGTGTTCCTTCCAAGTTGCCTTATTCAACCTTTTTGCAAGAGCTAATTGGTACGTGATTGAACCACAGTTCATATGTGGTAACTGTTTGTTTCATCATGTTTCACTTCTTCGTTTCCGCATCGTCTCGGGTTGACATCTGCTGATTTAAAATGTATAAAAAAGGGGAGAAAAAGCAAGAGGGCAATCATTTTCGTGTGCAGTTTGTAAAGCCCCGCCCCTGTCCCGCCCAATATGGCGTCACTTACTTATGTTGTCGATCGCGACGTCATTTGTAGTCGATCGCATAGCAAGCGATATGTTTTCAGGTTCTTTGTAGAGAATCATTTTTGTCATCAACGTTATTCACTGTGTTTACTTTACAGTTACGAGGTTCGATCAAGGAGAGGTACCGGGAACAAAGCAACGAACGAAAAGCAGAAGCTACGATACAAATACAAGAGAGAATTTAAGGTGCAGCTTCTTATTCATTCTTTGTGTCAGCATATTTCTAAAAAAATGTAAAGTTTCAATTCCAACCCTTTCCTTTGCACTGGGCACTTCTGGTGACCAGAAATGGTTGGTGGTTGGGTTATTATTTGCGTTTGATACCAGCTACCATTCTGTGGAACATTAACAGTTCACGATACAGAAACTCGGATAAACTACGATGGCTGTGATCAGCTCATTACAACATTAAGCTCTCTTTTGCTTTGTTGGTGTGTGCTGTCTAAGAGAGTGTTCCGGGATGTTTTTTTAATGGTCACCAAAATTACATTGGTCAGGTATGAGTCTTTTCAAAAGTGCGATTTTATCCGGCTTAGGGAAAAGTGTTGCCCTAAATTTTCCTTCAAATATACAGCAAGTGCCTCAGCCCTTTATTCCTTAACATCAGTATCCATATTCTCCATATTGTTCTCTGTGTATTTCCATCGGTACTGACAAGGAGAATTTGGTAAACTATTCAAGCTCCTTAGGTTGCCGATCATTTTCTTCATTCTCGTGATCTTAATGAATGTATTACTGTAGGGAGAAATTACTTGCTGGTCACCCTTAGGGTTAACTATCAGAAGCAATATCGTCGTTAAGCTTATGGTAGAACAATATGTGTATGTTGTCTCTTGTTACAATTTGTAGGGCGCTATAAGAGAAATAAGAAAGGATAACCAGTTCCTAGCGAAACAAAAGCTGAAAGAACAGTTAGAGAGGTAAGTCGAATTGAAGCATGCATTTTTACTCACTCTGTACCTTGTGGTAGCTCTTCTCTTTGGTCCGAAATGGTTATTCCGATCACCTTATTCACTGCTGCTTCATTCATATTCCTCTAGGGACACAGAACGTTTGCGTAAAGTCAAGCAAATTGAACACATGTTGTCCAACCAGCAAGCGGAAACCAACGCCATGAACCGGAAGAAGAGAAAACGGGGAAAGTAATAAGAGAATAAACGTGAACCGAACTGGCTGGTCACGTGTTCTCGTGGCGTCTCACTCGGCGATGGACTCTCCGTGAACCTCCGATACGAAATTAACTTAATGACGATTTGTCTTCTTCAGTCGCCGTGATTTTTATTCTCTGTCTTGGATCATTCAGCAGCCTTATTGACCACAACCGAAAAGCTACAGACAGTTTGAACAACCATTGGGTTCCATTTAAAACGATGGGTTTTTTTTTATTCATCCATACAGTATTTAGATTCGAGCATAGACTTGGGGCAACTCAACAGTCGCCTCCAACAGGAATCGATCGATGGTCCCATTAGGCAGTGAGCTAAAAAGTTATGAAATAAAATTATTCTGAACAGCTTAAGAGATCATTCTGATCAACTGGTGTCCGTGAATACTTTCCCTGCATGACAAAGTTATGCGGTTCTGTTTTTGACATCGTAAGAAGCTTATTAAGTTATATGAGATGCAAATTTTTGGAAGATTTCTAGATTGGAGATTTGGCTCTGGCCTGACTTCTTGGCCTAGATATTCCAAACTGTGCTCTAAAAAGCCTGAACAAACTAGTCATGAACACAAAATTTGCAGAAAATGTTGTTTAATTCAAACAATTTCTTTGCCCAACTGCTCCGTATCAAAGGTTACGATCGGTTTTAGCGAGACCGTTTTAAGGTCTGTGATGGGTACCCAAAGCGCCTTCAACAATCCCGAGATCCCGTGCGCCAAAGCACTAGTTTCCCTATTTTCTCAGATCATCGTCGAGTGCACGTGTGAAATAAATGCTGCTGAAGGACACAATGAGGGTAAAAAAAGGAAAAAATTGGGGTAAAAGGAAGGAACGGCTGTGGACTGACTTTTTGTTTCCTGTATCTGCGGTATGGCGCTCTAGCGAGGAGCTAGTGTTTCTCTTTTGGCATGTCGGGCCAGTCCCCCTCTTTGCATTGAACTCCTTTCGGTTTAGAGGTTTGCGTTACTTCCGTGAAGCCATCAATTTTAGTGAAATTCGACCTTTGGGGAAGTGATAAATTTGGAAAACGTATCATCGCGATAACGAAACTGAAAAATATATTTCTGCTGACCCGAGCTTGTTCCGGATAAACGGAAAGAGTAGTGGTTGTAGCAGTGCAGTGTATTTACATATGAGAATCAGCTGAATATACTCTTGACGTCCCTCATCAGACTAGACGTGATGCTAACAACGTCTGAACACTCGAGGAGATCTTTTCCTTTAAATCACAGCCCTGTTAGCGTCAGGGAAACAACAACAGAATGTGTTTGTGAAAAGAAAATTAGTAGGATAGCATCGTCTGATGGCAGGATGAGAACACCATCGAAAGCTAAATATAGATATGTGAAGGTTGGTTTGAAAGATGTGATTCTGTTTTGTATATTGGGTATTGTGACAGTGAACTGAAGTGTTAATTTATGTTAAGCGAACTAGTTTTTCAAGTCATAACTCCAACTTTTTAATTTCTGAGCTTGATTACATGCCCCCACTCTGCATTGCTACTCATTTGGTGTCCTGTCCGATCGTATTTTTTTATCTTTTCTTTTTTATGGATAAATTTAAATATACAGGATCTCCTGTTCCAAAATGTGACTGAGGGGATTGTTAACTGTTTCCTAGCAGTTTCATACTACCTTCAATGCAAAAAATATATTGCGCAATTGACGGCCATCGTGCAGACAGATTATATGATTTCCTTTTTATAATCTTCAACCGGAAGCTTCCTTTTCACTAAGTGTAACAAGTTCAGTGGTATAACAGGCTTCTTAACGTTGGAAAAGATACAAGTTAACACCCAATTTAAATCCAAAGATTTATTCAACAATGGCTATGCTATCACGCTTTAGAATATTAGGATATGAGAAACTAAACCACTCACTGAATATAGGATTCAGTCGAAAGTGCTACTTCAGCTTACGAGCAACTAGGAGCTGATGATAATGAACTGCTGTCTTAGAAAGATTTAGAAATAGTCATTGTTTTTTTTGGACCCAATTCTGAAAACATGTTAAACAGATGACAAAAATGTCAACCTTTGAGCTTCGTCAGATTTATCGATGGGGCTATCGTAATGAGATTTTGTCGCTTTTGTCGTCAATACTTCTGGGAGTTGCAGAGTAAATTACGCTTCCATAAAACGGCAGAACATTTTCGGAAGGAAAAATCGCAAGTTCTACCTGGCCAATATAATCAATTTTAATCGTTGAATGTAAGGGTTGTATTCACGCGTAGGTAAACGAAAAAGCAAAGTCACCCTCCGTAGCACACGTTGCGTTACAAAAAAAAAGGAGAAATCAACAAAAGCCGTTAGAAAGATGGTTTGACCAATCAAAAGAACTTGGAAAAGCTTGTTGCATGTCGTTAATTGATCTTCGCTCAGAGCAAACCTTCCATGAAATAGTTGCGCTTTAAAAATCATTTTCGAAAGCAAAGGAAAACATCGTGACGTTGTCGAATCAGGCTTTTACATGTATTCAAATTCTAAAATCAAACACTTCACACATTCCTGCACGTCACGCATAGTTGAAGTCACGTGCAGGTAAAACTTGAGTGAAGATTGCGTTATTCATTGCATTACAAAAAACTTTCAACCGACCAATCACAGGAAAGTGTGAGGCGTGACGTAAAAATGACCTTCGTTCGCAGCAGGTTGAATCACATGACAAGTCATGTGCTTATCTTATGTATTACTCTTGCGTCAGGCGATCCTTCGTGTTTGTGCCGGCTATTACCGCAACACCCTTTGCTTTTGGATGTTTTGTAGATTATAGAATGCACTTTGATTTGTCCATCACTCCATAGTAACGATAGAAAATGACAATATCTAAAAAGGACCGTGAAGTAAGTTGTGTTTCGGAAACATCTCATTTTGTATTTACAGTATGACGGTCGAAGAGCAAGTTCCCTTTTTGGCGCGTATATGTTTACACTAACGAGCCGTTAATTTTTCGATCGTCGTTTCGATACCCACATCTTCTCTTCCCTTTTATCTAGAAAATGTTTTGTTATCGTATATTTTTTAATTGATTTTTACTCGAAGTGAATTTAACGTTGCGACCTGTAATGTCACTGAAGCAGTGTCCTCTGAGTAAACTGATAAATTTTGGTGTTGATTTGTTTGTTCTTCAGACCGTGAAGGTTCTCGTGAGCAACCCAAAACTTCATAACTGCTCCCGCAGCAAGTTTGTTGACTATGAGATTAACATAGAGGTGGGTTTTATTTGGTTAACAGACGATATTATTACTTTCGTTCTAGCCCTATCAGATATATCGTATTTCTGGCACAAGCGGCTGACATGGTTGACATTCTTATTGCTTCTCGTTTTTGTTTTAGACTAACAACAAGGCCTTCTTCAGTAAACGCTCTAGTGTTAGAAGAAGATATTCTGATTTTTGCTGGCTTAGAGCAAAGCTTTCCAGCACAGATATCAGCGGATTAGGAGGGTACGTTTTATAGATCTCGTGATGATTGAATGAGTTTTTACTACTTTGGTGTGCCATCTTGCTCAGTCTTCTTATTAATTTTCTTTTCTCCATCTTTGTAACCAGCAAGAAACGATTTTTGTAAATATATGTTGTCTGTTGCCGTTGCGTTTTTCTAAGCGTTTTTCTTTCATTTACCCCCTGATCTTTAACAGTTTCTTTCAGTGCTTTTCTCTTGTTTCTCTAAAATATAGTCTTCTCTCATTAGGGAAACAAGTATTCCAACCCTACCTCCAAAGAGTTATTTTAGCAGATTTGATAAAGGAGTGATTGATTCTAGGCGGAAAGGATTTCAACATTTCTTAAGCGAGTGAGTATTTATTGTTTTGTGCGTGGAAATCATGCTGTGATTCTATGTTCTCACTTGTCTTAAAGGAATGAACAAGTCTGAGTAAGATATTCTAGAGCTAAAAGAAAGAAAATGGGCAATCTGAGCAATGATCCTGGCAGATGTCCTGCAATTTAGTAATTACAGACAAGAAGTCTGAAAAATTTTAGGCTTTGATGAGATTCAAACCCATGTATCCTTGGTAATAGTTGGAATGTAATACAAATTGAGCTACCAAGCAACATGTTGGAAGCAAGACAATTTGGAGAGGGTTCATCTTTTAAAATGGCAAACTTTGGAGGTTGCTTAGTACCTAATAGCCCAAACTATTTGTTATCTTCTTGAAAATATGCAAAATTTTTGGGTAGAATACATGCATGTTTTCTCTTTTGTGTGTTCAATTCTGAAACCAATATTTCTCTGGCATGGAATTAACTCAAATTTGTAAAGCAGAACAAAAGCTTTTAATTTCAAGAATGAGGTATTATTTTAACACCATGATTAAGATAGTTAGTCAACTTACAGGGGTTAAAATAATGATACTGCTGTTATTAAACTTCAAGAGAGTTACATCACATCTCACTATGGGATTAACATCACACTACATCATGATGCAATTAACATGTGCTTAACACCTAGTTATGACATAATTGTGTAATATTATAAGACTTGTCACAAATTGCATAAGAATGTGAAATTGACTCAACTATTTGACTAGAGCAGGATGTGAAAGTTTTGTTGGTAAATGGTTAACCTCTTTGAAATGTTTTGTTTTTCAGAATCGTCAAGGTAAATAATTATCTATCATTTGCTGGTCTTCACCTATTCCTACAAACACAGCTCCCAATACAAGAAATTGAAGGCTTTCTAGAAGGAAAATATGGAGAGAATGCCTCTGTTGAAGACTTAATACACCCTACAACTCTTTCCAATTTAAATGAAGACAAAAAAACTTTATATGAATGCTCAAATGAAGACTGTACTTTGTTGACTTCCTCCAACTGGGACATTCCTTCTACAGACAATGCTTCAACTCATTGTGGGTCATATGAAGTCAACTCTGACAGACTTCTCTCTGATAGCTATAGCACTTCTTCAGGGTATCTGTCAAGCTCTGCAGAAAACAGCTCTTTCATGTACACAATGTACAGATGACTCTGAAGCAAGAGTTTGAATATTTTGTTTGGTTTTTTGGGCTTTTTTTTACAATAATTTGGTCTGTGATGTTTATTTGCAAGGCACGTTATAGGTCTTTATTTGCAAGTCAACTCTGCAACTCTTCCATGAGACAAGGGGTTTTACATTGAAATGTTATTTTCAGTTATTTATTTTAACCAGCAAAGATTAGTTGAGGTTTGTTGGTTTGTTTGACTACAATCAAAGTTAAAAGCACATTTTGGGTCTAGTGATAAAGGAAAGGGTATAGAGAAACCCACATCAATACAGTACTTCATTATTATACTTTTTATAATTTATTATTATTGTAATGTAATTTATTAACAGTTTATGTACAGAGATGCATATCTAGAGAATTTAGTTTATTACTGTATATATTCTATAATTGTGTTCGTGATTATAGAAATGCATGGGCTGTGTTTGGTGGAGGATTGCATCATATCTCACTATTTTTACCTTGTTCGAGGTGATTATAGCATAGGTGCTGAATTTTAAAATGGCTACCTCATGTTTTGTCAATGTTTCAGAGAAACATAAATACAATTAATCAAAATTATAACCAATTGTGAGCATCAGTTTCTTTATTTACAGAATTTACAACAGAGTCTGAAAGGACCTGAGCAATTATGCTTCAAGCTCAGTGAACATGTTTTAATAATATTCACTTCCTCTTTGGCAAATAATTGTGAATTAATTCATTATTCGTAGAGTAACCCTAGTGAAAAATACTAGAGAAAATTTAATTTTGTTTAAAAGAATTGCTAATAGTGTACTGATGGAAAGTTTCTGTACAAGTTCAATGAAAATTGTTTTTTTTATGTAAATGCAAAGGAAATATTTAAAACTTTAGTTCCCAGGTGAGGAAGAATTCTACCTATTGACTTGAAATGGTGACAATTTCAATCAAATGTACATTCTTTCTCTTAATTACTTCCACCTCACATTTACAATGAGTTATAATCAAGTCTTGTCAGTATATGGGAACAGGCTAATGCAAACCTAAAGTGTACTTTCATATTTTATTGCCAGCTAAGTGCAGGTCATCCCATTATTTTTAGCTTTGAAATTAATTCTTAATCTGGGACATGGAGGAAATAACACAAGACCTCTTTGTTACATTTGAAATAAAAGACACTGCTTCTGCTAAGAATAACCTGTTAAAACATCAATTAATGTGTTTGTGGATGTGGGATATTTGTTGGTTAAATGGTGAGGAAAGTTATTGGAACCCAAGGGCTCGAAATACAGTGCCCTCCATGGGTTGATTGGCATGGGAAATTTCAACTTTGGAAGGCTAAATTAATAAGCAACTGCCTGAGGGATCATAAAATGGCAGGCAATTAACACTTAGCCCTTCTCTGATCATGAATCCCAATGTCACAGGAAGTTTCCATTATGTTAAACCCTTCTGTTAGATATCTGAGGGTGTTGTGGAATGTGCTTTTATTATGTAATTTAGCATGGTATCTTAGGTCCCTTGCTGTGTTCAGGGTTGAGGACATGTTCACAAATAAAAGGTCTTTTTTGACTGGTTGTCTTGAAACCATTTAGGAAACCATGATTCAACCAGTTTGAACAAAACAAATTCAACAAAGAAAGCAGTGGCTCTGTAAAGGACACCAAACAGATTTTCAGTGGTTTATATTACTTAAATATCAAAGAAGTTAGAACTTTTTCAGGAAATGTTCGAAATATATGAATCTGATTGGCATCATTAATTTTGATTTTTCAAACTGCAGCGAAATGTTTCCCTTGAGGTCAGCAAATCTTAAATTTTCCATCCTTAATGTGTATTCTTGCTTGGTCAATTGGGAAACAA